TGCACCATTATTACCACTAGGGATCTTTCAAAAGGAAGATATGTATGCTCGTCAACAATGGAAACAAGTGCAATATATATTGGATCTGTTCTGGAAATGATGGACAAAGGAGTATTTACTTCAATTGCAAGAGTGACAGAAGTGGTCAGCTGCAGCCTGGACTTCATTCCAGGAGATATTGTGCTTTTGGTCAATGATTCAGCACCCCGTAATTCATGGATACTTGGGAAAGTGATCCAAACCTTTCCAGATAAAAAATATTTTGTTCGTCAGGTGCGACTCAAGACTAAGACCAATTATTTGAATAGACCAGTGACAAAATCTGCCTTCTGCAGGAGGCAGATATTTGACATTTTCCTTGAAAAGGTTTTTTGTTTTTTGGGATTGGTCAATATAGACATTGACATCGAACTGTTATAGACATTGACTTCACACATTGATATAACTGAGTTAAAAATTACTCATTAACACTAAAGTATTAAGGACTTTACATGGACTCTATCAAATAATGTTGTTTTTGTCAAGAAATGGCTCAACGTTTGTCAAGTATTGGGTGGATAAAATAAATCTCAAAACGAGGCATTATAAACGAGGCATTTGTTGCATCCAGTGGGGACATAATTACGGATTATAATGACTTATACTGTCTTTTTATGCGTTGCATCGCATAAATACATGTAAACATAAAACCATGTCTGCATTTGTGATCGGAGAAATGACAAACAACAAGCGCTACTCTACACTGCCCAAAACTCATGTTTGAATCATCAGTGGCAAATTCTTTATATATAAAAAAAACTTACTTACAGTCTGTGAGTCAGAACAGCCGGCATTGTAGTCTACTCCAGTGTTTCTCAACCAGTGGGTCGAGGATCATTCCGTAGGGGGTCGCGAGACTTTCTCTGTGTTCTCGGTGTTACACCGGCACAGTAAGTGCACTTCACAAAAGGCTCATTGAAACAGTGACCTCCAACGAATCGTATTTTCGAATGTCGCATGTTGAATCATTATTGCCGTAACTTTCTAACGCTGTTTCTAAACTGTCCTATCACAACAATTTATTGCTGCCGCGAATGTCTCTTATTGGACAAGGTCCTACTCTCTTTACGTAATGTTACACACGCTAGCAGCTGTTTACCCCGTTGCTTGGTAACGACGGCGCAGGAGATTGCAATGTATTGCTATGCCAGACCTACTATACACAGCCATGGCCTGTTAGCTTGACAAAATGCATCCGTTTTTTAAAAGAAAAAAGCAGAAGATTCAGAAACTCCTTCCACTTCAAAGGCAGCAAAATGTAAACAACGCAAGTACAACCCAGACTATGTTAAATATGGATTCACTGGATTCACCCTTTCCCGAATTCCACCGCATCTGGATATCATCATTTCAGAGCGGCAGTCTCAAATGTCACATTAACGTGAGTTAATAAATAAATAAATTTAAATAAATAAATCGGTTTGCCTCATAGTCTGTCTAATTATTGAAAGTGTTTGTGTTTTTGTGAAATTAATTATAATAAGCATATACGGTGTAGCCTAGGTCTAAAGAGGCATTTCAGTTATTTATTGATTTCCAGCCTTAGTGGGTCATATGACTGGCATACAAAAAAAAAGTGGGTCGCAGTAGGCAAAAGGTTGAGAAACCCTGGTCTACTCTACCAGGATCAGGAAACAGTCCTCCATAAAATGTGCTGCACACATCTGAATATTTGAGTTGAACTGTTCTGGAACAGTGTTGTCAATACAACTTAACCACTAATTTCTAGTTGTGTCCTCTTTTGGAAGGCCAACAAAGTAGTTTCACTTTCACAACGTAACAGCGTCACACACGGCAGCCTTGAGTGAGCGGCGGCCAGCGGATTCGACGAAGGAGCGGCTAGCGGGCTTGCGGCAACCACATGTGACGACCCCGGGCTGGACTCAGCTTTGTCCACGGTGAAATCCGATCCGGCGATCCACAGCGTGAAGTTGATGTATTCCCTCAGCGACCAGCACGGATCAGCTCTAGGCATGACAAAGCAGATATCGTCTGCAAACTAATCTCGGGGACGGATGCACCCGAAGATGCGTTTCTGCGTCAACATCTTGAACAGTAACCGGCAGGCCCGGATTAAGAATTCAGAGGCCCCTGGGCACTATTGCTGCATCCCAATGTGCCTACTTATACTATGCCCTTAAAGTATTTACTCTTTTGGTGAAGAAAAAGTACACACTTTTGAGTGTGTAGTAGAAGAGTAGGCAAGTTTTGGGACATACTATCACGTCACACAATTGCGTCTTTAAAGGACCGAGATTAGTTTGCAGCGATCGACCTGAAGGACACGTACTTTCATGTATCGATCCTTCCGCACCACAAACCATTGCTGCAGTTCGCATTTGAAGGACGAGCATATCAGTACAAGGTCCTGTCCCTGTCGCCCCGTGTCTTCACGAAAGTTGCGGAGGCAGCCCTTGTTCCCCTGAGAGAGCAGGGCGTTCACATTCTCAACTACCTCGACAACTGGCTCATACTAGCTCAGTCTCGGGATCAGTTGTGCGAACACAGGGACTTGGTGCTCTCGCACCTCAGCTGGTTGGGCCTTTGGGTCAACTGGGAAAAGAGCAAACTCTCCTCGACGCAGAGGATCTCTTTTCTCAGTATGGAGTTGGATTTGGTCGAACAGACAGCACACCTCACGCACGAACGTGCTCAGTGTTGAACTGCCTGAATATGTTCAAGAGCAGGACAGCGGTCCCACTGAAACAGTTTCAGAGGCTCCTGGGGCATATGGCAACTGCAATACACCTTGCCTTGAACTGTCTCAGAAGGCACGTACGAGAGAAGCACGTGCTGGTCCGAACGGACAACACTGCGACCGTTGCATACATCAACCGACAAGGTGGTCTATGCTCCTGTCGCATGTCGCAACTTGCCCTGCCACCTCCTCCTCTGGAGTCAGAAGTATCTGAGGTCGCTTCGTGCCATTCACATTCCGAGTCTGCTCAACAGTGCAGCCAACGAGCTGTCATGAGCTGCACTCTCCGGAGAGTGGAGACTCCATCCCCAGACAGTCCAGCCTCTCACTGCCAGTTGTTTAACTCCCGGACCGAGGGAACACTCGGCATGGATGCACTGGCACACAGCTGGCCACAGGGCCTGCGCAAGTATGTATTTTCCCCAGTGAGCCTTCTGGTACAGACACTGTGCAAGATCAGGGACGACGAGAAGCAGGAACTGCTTGTGGCGCCCTACTGGCCCACTCGGACCTGGTTTCCAGAACTAATGCTCCTTGTAACAGCCCCTCCCTGGCAGATTCCTCTGAGGCAGGATCTACTGACTCAGAGACAGGACACCCTTTGGCACCCGCATACGGACCTCTGGAAACTTCACGTCTGGTCCCTAGACAGGCCGCAGAGGTTCTAGGTGGCCTACCCCAAGAGGTAGTAGACACCATCACTTCGGCAAGAGCACCGTCTACGAGACAAGCTTATGCCTTGAAGGGGAACCTGTTCATTGAGTGGTGTTCTTCTCACCGAGAGGACCCAATCAGAGTCGTGCTGTCCTTTTTGCAGCAAGGGTTGGAGTGAAGCCTGTCTCCCTCCACCCTTAAAGTCTATGTGGCTGTGATTGCTGCGTACCATGATCCCGTGGAAGGGAAGTCGGTAGGGAGGCATGACTTGGTCATCAGGTTCCTTAGGGGGGCGAGAAGGTTAAATCCTCCTGGCCCCCCTCTATACCCTCTTAGGACCTGACTCTATTGCTCAAAGCACTACAGCAAGTGCCCATTTGAGCGTTTGCAGTCAGTCGAGCTAAAGTTTCTTTCAATGAAAGCTCTGCTCCTGACTGCATTGGCCTTCATCAAGAGGGTAGGGGACCTGCATGCATTTCGGTCGACGAATCGAGCCTAGAGTTTGGGCCGGCTGACTCCCAGGTAATCCCGAGGCCCCGGGCCGGCTACGTGCCCAAGGTACCTACTACCCCCTTCAGGGATCAGGTAGTGAACCTGCAAGCGCTGCCCCCGGAGGAGGCAGACCCAGACCCAGCTTTGCTTTGTCCTGTCCGAGCCTTGACATGGTTCGTAGACTGGACACAAAGCTTCAGGACCTCAGATTATCTCTTTGTCTGTTACGGAGGCCTGCAGAAGGGGAATGCCATCTCTAAGCAGAGGATGGCCCACTGGATAGTGGATGATACACCCTAGCTTGTCAGGCACAGGGTGTGCCCTGCCCGCTCAGGTTGTGAGCTCACTCTACTAGAAGTGTTGCATCCTCCTGGGCGCTGGCTCGTGGTGCCTCGCTGACAGATATTTATAGAACTGACTGATTGAAAGGGAACGTCTCGGTTACGTATGTAGCCCTCGTTCCCTGAAGGAGGGAACGGAGATGTCACGTCCCATCGCCACGGCTGCTGTACCACCACTGAGTGGCCAGGTTACCGGCTCGGCTCCTCAGCGAAAATCTGGTATGCGTTGCACCTGCTGCCTTTTTATGCTCACGCTGTGATCAGTGGCAGCTGGATGCAGTCATCACATGCCAATGTGCATTGGCTCATTTAGTTTACACTCGAAGTGGACTGGTCTCTCTAAGCGAGATCCCAATTCATCGGTCATTACCGACGTGACGTCTCCGTTCCCTCCTTCAGGGAACGAAGGTTACATACGTAACCGAGACGGTTTTCTTCTGTTTCAGATCACTGCAACAAGACAAAGTTCCCAAGCAGTCCCACTTCCATTATCTTGATGTTATGCTGATGGTTCCAGGGGTTATTACAGGCAGCTAATATTTAAATATATTGTTTTGCTGAACCCCCATTTGGAACCATACCTCCAAACCAAATGTTGTGTATAATCAATAAATTATGTTTCTTTTACTGCCAGAGTGGTCCTAACTGAACTGTATTAAAAAGGCGTGTCATGACTCCTTTAAGATTCTGGCCTGTTATTCAGGAGAAAATCTCTCATTCAGGAACGTTTATTTTAAACGTTTATATGATACTTTAGTTCATGATTAAACACTCACAGAGCTTTTCTGCAGTTGATCACAGCTGAATTCAGTCTTCTTCTCCCCTCATCTGATGTGTTGTATTTCATGGGGTTCAGCTCATCCAGAGGCTCCTCTGACATCTGAAGCATGTAAGCGATTGTTGAGCATTGAGCAGGAGAGAGTTTCTCTGAGTGTTTGTCTGATTTCACAAACTCCTGAATCTCTCTGGACAGAGTCTGATCTTTCACTTCCAGCAGACAGAGGAACAGATTGATGGATCTTTCAGCTGAGAAAGGATAATCATCATCATCATCTTTGATCTTCTCTTTAATGTACTGTGTGGTTCTCCTGATGCTCTCGGAGCTGTTCTCTGTGTGTGTCAGTAGATCCTGTAAGAGTCTTTGATTGGACTCCAGTGAGACGCCCAGCAGGAACCGCAGGAACAGATCCAGCTCTCCATTCTCACTCTGGAGTGCTTTAATTACTGCTGATCTTAGTAGATTATACAGAGAGTCTTCATCAGATCTGTAAGATCTGAATTCATGCAGTGGCTCCACATTCTTTGTTAAATAGCAGTAAAGCAGATAGAAAGCAGCGAGAAACTCCTGAATGCTCAGATGAATGAAGCTGTAGACTTTCCTCTGATGAATCACAGATTCCTCCTTAAAGATCTCAGTGCAAATCCCAGAATACACTGAGGCGTCAGTGACATCTATGCTGCTCTCCATCAGGTCCTCCTCATAGAACATCACATTGCCCTTCATCAGCTGTTTGAAAGCCACTTCAGCAAGTTTCACAATCACTTCTCTGTTGGACTGCAGGAGTTTCTCTGGATGTCTCTCTTCATACTTCTGGTTCCTCATGTTGATCTGAATCAGCAGGAAGTGGATGTACATTTCAGTCAGAGTTTGAGGGATTTCTGCACTCAGATCTTCTTCCAGGAGCTTCTGAAGCACAGTGGATGAGATCCAGCAGAAGACGGGGATGTGGCACATGATGTTGAGGCTTCTTGCTCTTCTGATGTGTGAGATGATTCTGCTGGCTTGATGCTGCTCACTGATTCTCTTCCTGAAATATTCCTCCTTCTGAGGCTCCGTGAATCCCTGAATTTCTGTCAGACGGTGGATGTATTTGGAGGGGATCTGATTGGCTGCTGCTGGTCTGGAGGTGATCCAGATGAGAGCAGAGGGAAGCAGCTCTCCTTTCATGAGCTTTGACATCAACACAGCCACTGATGCAGTCTCAGTCATATCACAAACTTTCTGAGCCTCTGAAAACATCAGTGTGATTCTGCTTTCATCCAGACCATCAAAGATGAACACAACTTTACACTCCTCATAAATCAGTGAGTCCAGATCTTGAAGTCCAGGATGAAAGTCCAGTAGAAGTCTGTGAAGACTGTACTGATGATCTCGGATCAAGTTCAGCTCTCGAAATGGCAGCACAAACATGAAATCTACATCCTGATGGGCTTTTCCCTCGGCCCAGTCCAGAATGAACTTCTGCACAGAGACGGTTTTTCCGATTCCAGCGATGCCTTTAGTAAGAACAGTCTTGATCTGCTCTTTCTCCTCAGATCCTGCTTCAGCTGAGGCTTTAAAGATGTCATTGCAGTAGATTGGAGTGTCTTGTGAGTGTTGTGTTCTGGCTGTTTTCTCCATCTGTAAAACCTCATGTTCTTCATTCACTCCTTCTCTCTCTCCCTCTATGATGTAGAGCTGTGTGTAGATGCTGTTCAGGAGGCTTTCATTCTCCTGGAGTTTCAGTCCCTCAAATAATCTCTCATACTTGTTCTTCATGCTGGTTTTGTGCTGCTCTTTGACTCTCTGTAGTTCATCATTCACTGGTTGTGGAGGATCTCCAGTCTGATCATCTCTATCCACATTGCTGAAGAAAAAATTGATTAAAAAAATAGAAAAATAAAGGAATTTAACTATGAAAATAATTAAAATGTGAATCATTACAGATGGCAGTCTAGTATTTTTCATATATTCTATGTCATATCTTGATTCTGGGATCAAAATGAATTTTCCATCACTGAAATTTTGTCCATAGATTTGAGGTAAAATCTAAAATAAAAACTCCCAGCAATCTCTCAGCATGTATTAAGTGTGTTTTAATGTGCTCTCAAATGAACTGTTGTTAGTTTCACTCACTAGTTATAATTAAATCACCCACTAGTTATATGTTCACACTCACCTGGGGTCAGAGGTCACCGGTTCATCACTGAGGTCAGGAGGATGATGCAATGATCTGTCACTCTTCAGAGAAACATAACTGGGTTCAGGGAATGAAGATATCTTCCTCCTACTGCAGATACAGATAAACACAAATCAATAACTCAGGTTTTGAGCCAGAACACTGCAGTCACTTGTTTGCTTAGGTATGTAGTTGTAGTAGAAAAAAAGCAAAGTGTTTGATGTTGTGAAATAGATGTACAGAGGATGTAACAGATCACTCTTTAACTCAACTCTGAAAAGACTTTAGTGAAAAGAAACTCATTGAGCACATGCACTGAACTGTTTTTTTTTTTTTTTTATAATTCTGAGCTGGTTCTGGCTTTGTTGGTGATGACGCATAAGACGGTGCATTTATGTATGTATGCCAGCAGCAAGGTTATCTTCATGGCGAAAACAGAATAGATAACAAAAGTCATACAATTAAGAAGCTATATAAAACATTTAAGGTATATACCAGACAAAATATCTACCATACCTTCAGGTGATACTCCTTTAAATACATCAGTTAAACACATCTCTGAATAAAATTGTTGTCTATTTATGTTAAAAAACAGTACAGTCCAATAAAAAGGTTTAACAAGTCATTGTAGTGTGACAAGGAAGTCATAATGGTGGTGGTTCACCTTTTAATAAATAACTCTGTATGCCCTAAAAACAACTTGATCATACCTAGATTTGAAATTAATAAGATTCATTCTTCTTAAACTAGGATTCATTTAATGTAGCTTATTTCCATGGCATTCATCCCATTCCAACTGCCACATGTTATTAATATAAGAGTTTATATACGGTCTAAGATCAGAGGGTGGAATTTGACACTCTGAAATATGCAAGTTGAGAGCCTCCTTTGCAGCGATGTCTGCTTTCTCATTACCAGGTACGCCAATATGACCTGGAACCAGTGGCTACTGCTTCTCATCGCTATCGTTGTTTTGTCATTTATTCAGTCACTTATGTTGTCAATCGTTCATGTTGATGTGTTTTCTTAGGACTTCAAGTTTGGATTTAATGGAACAGTGAGATTTGGATGTTTGGGCAAAGCGTTCGAACTTCCGAATAAACAGCGACATCACCATATCGGAGTGTTTGGATCTGTTATGCTGCTGGACTGCTGATTTTCACATTTTTTAAACTACTTTGCAAACTTCTATTCAGCATCTCACCTTTGAAATCCCTGCGAGCCCTCTGCCCGTGTTTTTGCTTTACCACTCTGCACTCACAGTGAGTAAGTTTCCTCTTTCTCATTGAGTAGTGTTTCTTTGTGGTCCTGCCTATCCGGGCTTGGCTAACGTGGAGTGGTGTGGCCCCACTTTACCATTTCCCACGAGCCCTCTGCCCTTGCCCATCCATAGGTCCCATACCGCTTGATGCCACCGGTAAGTTTCCATGATGTGTCTTGTATAGTTTTGTGGATCATACCTAGCTGGGTTTGGCTAACGTGGTGTTGTCTAGTGTAGCTGTACTGCTTTCTGTGAGTGCTGCCTTGTGCCGGTTTCACACTGGAAGCGCAAGCTGAGTGGAGGTGGCGCAGAAGCTGTATGTATGCAGAGCAGGAGCAGCACGCGCCCATAGAGCTTCCACACTGGCAGCTTTTGTCGAGCGCAGCTGAACCGCGGCTTGTATACTACAAATACAGATGAGTATCGTTCATTCGGTCACGTTTTCCAGGTGTTCTCTGACAACTGTCTCTCATGTGCTTTGATTTATGATATGGGAAGCAGCATACTCTGCTGTGATGTGGTTGTGTTCCCCTCTGTCCCACACACACATGCATAGTGCATGCTGTATAGTGTAGTTTGCATCATAAGTAATCTTAACGTTAAGATATGCATATGAACTATAGTTTAAATAATTTAAACTAGCCTTTTTTTCTCTGAATTTGGGCAAAAACTCCTGGCAATGATGTGTTTTCGTGCATTTATTATGACACAGAAACAGCTCACTTATTTGATTTTATGGTGATATTTGTTATTTTTCGTGTTTACTCGTGTCTATTTTGAACAAGAACAATGAACTGTGGCTTTAATTCAGCATGAGCGGCGCAGCAAAAATAGACTCTGCGGCGAAACAATTGCTGCACTGGTAATGTTTGCTCTGCTCCTGCTATGCACTGCCGCGCCACCTCTGTGTGCGGTGTAAATACTGTAACTTGTTAACATGGGTACTCTCACTCATTGTCACAAATTCAGCCTCTGTGGCTCCCTCCGATCACCACCAGAGGGAACCATCACCGAAGTACTGAGCGATCCCTTCGGACTCCAGTTCCCACAATGCCCCATGCCAGAGTCTAATCACCTGCACAGGTGTTTCCTATTGCCGGTCTATTTAAACTGTGCCTTCCTTGCTCTCATTGCGAAGTCTTGTTTTGCCTTGCTGACATTTCTGAGCATTTACCCTGTGTTGTATACCTGTTGATTACCTGGACTGTTTACCCGTTTACTATTGCTTGCTGCCTACCTATTCTGACCCTGCCTGCCTTGTTGATTCATGCCATTGATTGTCTGCCGTCTGCCTCGACCCTTATTACGAACACTGTTTATGATTCTGCCCAGCCTTCGTTGTCTCTAACGCCAGTTAACGATTTATGCCTGTTTGACCTGCCTTGTGAACTAATAAAGCTGCACATGGATCCTAATGCCACTGCCTCTTTGTTACAGAAGACTTCGCCTGAAATTGATCCAGCAGCGTTCTATCACTTCACCACGGAGGTATCTGCTCAAGCATTGGTTCTGGCCACACACCAGCAACAATTATCCAGCGGTTTAAGGAGGTGTTCGAACATCCCGCTGATGGAAAGGAGGCGGGTGAGCAGCTGTTATCGTTACACCAGGGCAGAGGTTCGGTGTCGGATTACGCTCTCTCGTTCCACACTCTCGCTGCACAAGCAGGGTGGCCGGAGGATCCTCTCAAACTACACTTCCGCAGAGGACTGAGCATGGAACTTCTCATTTGGCAGTGGCAGCGCTAGATGGCCGGCTGCTGGGCACTGGCCAAATCCAATTCACTACCACAGACCTTCAATTATGCACTGGAGCTCTTCACACTGAACTGATCCGCCTCTTCGTATTTCAATCTCCACGAACACCTATCATTCTGGGACTGCCTTGGCTAGAGCAGCACAACCCCTCTATCTCATGGTCTGAAGGACAGATTACAGTGGTCAGAGTCCTGTCGTCAGAATTGTCTCAACGCTACCCCGATCAGAAAGGAGAGGGATTGCACACCTGCCTGTCAGCTTCCTGCAGAGTACCACGATCTCATGGAGGCCTTCAGTATGATAAATGCTTCTCAATTACCTCCTCATAGACCGAGTGACTGTGCCATCGAGCTCCAACCTAGTTCACATCCTCCCAAGGGGAGGGTCTTCCCCTTATCTCAACCTGAAGCTGAGGCTATGAAGTCCTATATCGAGGAGGAACTCGCTAAGGGTTTTATCAGACCATCCACATCACCTGCCTCTGCGGGGTTTTTCTTTGTTAAGAAGAAGGATGGAAGATCCTTCTTCTTAACAAAGAAAATTGTTAATTACCGAGTGCTCAATGATATCACTATAAAGTTTCGCTACCCCTTGCCCCTAGTCCCTTCAGCTCTGGAGCAGCTCCGAAAGGCAAGATATTTCACCAAGCTGGATCTGCGCAGTGCTTACAACCTCATTTGCAGCCGTGAGGGTGATGAATGGAAAACTGCGTTCTCTACCACAACTGGGCACTACGAGTATTTTGTTATGCCGTTCGGCCTTGCCAACAGTCCTTCAGTGTTCCAGGCCTTCATCAATGATGTGTTCAGAGACATGTTAAATCGCTGGGTCATTGTTTACATTGACGACATCCTAATTTACTCCGAGTCATACGAGGATCATGTCAAGCAGGTTTGGGCGGTCTTACAACGTCTCATCAGCCACCAGCTATATGCCAAAGCCGAGAAGTGTGAGTTTCATCAGGAGACAGGATCATTCCTCGGATACGTGATCAGCTCAGGAGGGGTGGCCATGGACGACAAGAAGGTACGAGCCGTTGTCGACTGGCCTCTACCTGCCACCTTAAAAGAACTACAATGCTTTCTAGGATTTGCCAACTTCTATCGGAGATTCATTCGTAACTTCAGCACAGTGGCAGCTCCCTTGACTTCTATGACTAAGAAGGGTAGTCAGTGCCTCAAATGGTCCTCAGCAGCCCATTCAGCCTTCCAGACGCTCAAGGAGAGATTTACAACCGCACACATCTTGTACCATCCCGACCCAGAACTAGAGTTCATTGTGGAGGTGGACGCATTCAGCACGGGCATTGGGGCAGTTCTCTCTCAACGACATGGTAACCCGCCCAAGTTATATCCCTATGCCTTTTATTCCCGCAAACTCAATCCCACCGAGCAGAATTACGATGTGGGCAACCGAGAACTTCTTGCCATAAAGGTCGCCTTTGAGGAGTGGCGTCACTGGCTCGAGGGAGCCAAACACCCCTTTATTGTACTCACCGATCACCGCAATCTGGAATATCTGAAATCAGCCAAAAGACTCAATCATAGACAGGCAAGATGGTCTCTGTTCTTCACCAGATTCAACTTCACAATAACCTACTGTCCAGGCTCTCAAAACACAAAGGCAGATGCCCTATCTCGACTCTGAGTCAGACACAATGTCTCCCAGTCAGGAATCCATCATTCCGTCTACCATCATTCTCGCACCCATTCAATGGGACATAATGACAGAGATCACAGACACCCAGGGCACCGAACCACCTCCAGCCGAAACCCCACCTAATCTCACATACGTACCGCAACCTCTACGACAAAGAGTCATCCAACTAGTTCACTCAACTCTCGGCTCCGGACACCCAGGTATAGCAGCTACTCTTCAGTTACTAAATAATCGCTTCTGGTGGCCCACGCTGCAAGCAGAGACAATCGCCTTCATCCGAGACTGTGGTACCTGCAACATAACCAAATCCTCTCATCAACTACCTGCTGGCCTCTTACAACCATTACCTATCCCACAACGCCCCTGGTCCCACATAGCCATCGACTTCATAACAGATCTGCCTGCCTCACAGGGTCACACTACCATTCTCACTG